TATCTGTATCTTTAAAATTTACACTTAATCTATTAATAAAGTTTATTGGAGCAAGACTCTGTTGGATATAAAAAAAAAAATATTTATTAAAATTTATATTTATATTAAAAAATTAAATAGTAGTTAGAAGAATTTAGTTTTATATTTATTTATTTTTACATATTGTGTATTTTCAAAATTATCATTATTTAATATTTATATATTTCATTTAAAAATTTTGCCTTTCATTGATTTCCTTCAATTTTGCACCTTTACTTTTATTTTCATTATTCATTTAGTTCTAAATCAATTATTTCTTTAATACAAATGATTTAGATTTCAACCAGAATAATTATTCAACTCATGTTATATAAGCATTTATTAAAACCTGATTTCATTCTTTATATTAAAGTTAAAGTCTGTACCGTTAACTCTTATTAAATTGCAAAAAAACTTTTGAAATATTCTAAAAAATGATATGAAAGTTTTGAAAAAGTTATCTCAAGAATTTTTAGAACTTCTTAATGTTAAGAAAATATTGAAGTTTTTCAAAAACAAATAAAAAATCTTCATTTCTTCTTACCTTAATAAAGGATTAACGTTCTCAGTGATGAAAATAATAAAATCAAATTATTCATAAGACTTTTATATTATTATTTTAATTATAATGCATTGATAAAGTATTTTGAATGATATATATTTCGAAATATTAAATTAAATAATTTTATAAATTTTATACAGATATATCTATGGCAAAATTATGATACAGAAAATATGGATATCAAAACTATGATTAATTTGATGATTGTTTCCGATGAGTTAGACTGTGAGGAATTATCCGAGAAATTAGAAAATATCTTATTGAATCCAAAGCTTCTTGGCTAATAATTAATTTCACTTTAATTAATCATTCAATTTTAGCATAATAAATTTGAAAATTTGAAAAATTTTGTAATGATATTGTTTGCAAAATATCCTAGTATTACTTTTTGAATCTGCATAATGCACTTCTCTCATGAATTTAGTTCAGTGTAAATTTAATATTTAAATAAAAGTTATACTCGATAAAAACAAAAAAAAAAGAAAGAGTTTACCCCGGAGATAGTTAAAATGGCAAATTTAAATATCAGATCAATAACGAATTAAAATAAAGCTTTTTTTTGTTTTGTTTTTATCATGCAAACTAAATAATGAACAATTGTCTTGAAGCACGTTTATTAATATATATTTATGTATACCCAAAAAAATCCAATTCCCACATTGCGTAGCTAAAATAAATTGTCTAATTAATCGAATTTAATCTTTATAAAATAATATGCATAAATTTATAACTCAAAAAATGTAATAAAAATGACATTATCTAGATATTTTTAAATAAAAAAAAATAAAAGATATGATGACTTAATACAATATCCTTTTCTAGATAACCAATTATACCAATCAGTTAAAATTCTATACTTCCAAATATTTTATTTGACGCTGAATCGAGTATTGACTAATATTAAAATATTTACAAATTATAAATAAATAAATAATTAATTAATTGTCAAGATGGTGTCATCATTATTATAATAAGTCCAATAACTCACCTGTTCAGCGATTAATTTTTTAATTTATTATTATTTACTGCTCAATACAATAAAATGATAATTGATAAATTTCTTATTTTGATTTTGTACACTAATAGTGTAACACTATCCAATTAACTTTTCTTTGATGGAATTTTGGATATGGATATCTTGAAGTTGCACCGATTTTAAAAATACAAATTTTATTTCTTTTAGTTATTTTATTGTTATTACAAAAATGGTAATGTGGTAATAAAATTTTGTCTGTAGAACAATGATTTTCGCGAAATCCGTTCATTGTTTTTACAAAAATGGTATAATTTCATTTGTTTAGAGAAATAAAAAATCTAGATTTTTTTGTTTAGAGATAAATAAAAAATATAGATTTTCCATTTATAACTCACGAAAATCACCAATCTTATCTTATCTATGATTCTTTTGATTGCATTCCAAACTTAGGAAACCAATGACATAGGTCTCTTTTTATAATTTCGAAAAGTTTCCGTCACGGGATTTGGGTTTCGAATTGATATTGTATTAGATCTTCTTGGTTCAATAATTTTCAACAAATTTTCGCTTAGAATTGTGAAATATTTTATTTGGCTTCACATCTTTAACTTGAAATAATTTCCATTTAAAGAATTCAAAGAATTTGATGACTATGAAATTATATATGTAATGCAAAAATTTGTTTCAAAATAACGATGTGGTACGTAGAATTTAGATGATGAAAAATAATGACGGGAAAATGACACAAACATCTCATATAATTGGTAGAAAAAAAGATTTTGAGACATTCTAGGCAATAGATATTTATCATTTACGAAAATATGGTGACACATGCCACACACAGAGTCTTTTGATAACAAAGAAAATAGAAGTTATAAAAGATCCATTTCGTCCGCTCTTTTCTTTTCATTTTAAATTTATAAAAATTTAAGAACAAATATGACTAGAATTTTCGTTTTTAATTTATATTTCTATCTTATAATTGTATTATCATTCTATATATCGCAAGTTTTGTCAAATTTAACAACGGTACAAAAAAGAGAAATTACAGAAGACAATAATGGTACATTAAGAATTACTTCGCGTAATCTCAGTCGCTGTGGAGGAACAATCGTTTTTACAAGCTTTGAGGCCATTATCATCAAAAATAACACAATGACTTACTTTCTCAAGGGCAATATCCCCGGGGATTTAAGTCAGTCTACAGGTTATTAACGATTGCTATTGTATTTTCAAGCAATTTTATTTAACAAATAACATTAATACCGAGAATAGAATATTGCCAATTCTCTAGCGCAATCATCTATCAATGGTGTATATACTGATAGAGTGACTTGTTATTATGCTCCACGTACACCTACGCCTAGCATCTCAGGCTATTCATGCATAATCGATAGTGGGTCAGTCACATTTTATTATGGATATGATGTTGCAGCTGCTTCTGGAGTACGGGTGGCATGGAAGACAAGTCCTGAAGAAGAAACAAAAGTTCTTACAATGAGTTTTTCTCTATGGAGTTCAGATTCAGTCATCCGAGGTTGTGTCAATGGTTCAGCGAATCCTATTAGTAATACGTCAATTCCTATTCCTTCGATCGCATATAACGGTCTATTCATTTCTGGGGTGATTGTTGGACTAATCAGTGGCTTCACCAGCTACACATTAATAAAAGGCAGTAATATATCACCAATTTCCAACGTTGAGAAATTGGCTGTTGGTCTCTCTCAACCGCCTTCAGTATATGATATCTTTCGTGTTGCTCAATTTTTTGTAACTACCGCTCTGCTTTCTTTAACTCACCTTCCCGATAGTTACCGGGATTTAGTATCTGAATTTAGTTGGACAATTGGTTTGCCCAGTTTTAGCGAATCCCTATCTAATGTTGCAGATAATCAGATACGAAAAGGAATATGCAATATGTCAAATCCACCTTCATCTGGATTTATAACTACTGGGAGAAAAATAAATATTCCGGACTACAATTTATTTTTTTGCGTGATTATTGAATTCAGCATTGTATTAGCGATTGTACTTGTTATCGCATTACTCCTCGGGTTATTGTCACGGTTTTGGAAATTCTTACAGAAAAAATGGTCCATCGTGAAAACAGCGTCGTGTAATATTCACTTTTTAGTACTTGGTATGTAAAGGTTCTAAATATATTATGATGTAATTTAAGTAAATAGTTAATGATATGAAATTAACTTTTTTCTGACTTCGGTTCCTATTGTTTAGGTGGAATGTTTCGAGTAGTAAGTACTATGCTATGTATTTCATAGAGTTTCGTCTCTAGGTTTAATTGAGATGTAATAACAAACTTCCCTTATTTTTTTTATTAACATACAGCTCCTCCTATTTTATTATCCTCTAACCCTTTTTGCTGCCTATCAACTATCATTTCACTACGATTGTTGGTTCTTGCTTTTTCTTGCCGCAATTTGCATTTTATTCATTTCTCTTGGCGTGATAAGCTTTTGTTCCTACAAAATCCTCTGGGATTTAGAGAATGATCGGGATGCATTTAACGCGCCTGTTCACACATTCATTTATGGTGCGCTCTATACTCAATATCGAGATCATTCAGAGGAGAAACAAACTTGCCTATGGTTTTTTGTATTCACATTCGCCTATGATATCATTCGAGCCATTGCCACCGGAGGAGCTCGGCAAAGTGGTGTCTTACAGACTGTCAGTTTGTTTGTCACCGAAATAATTTACTTTATTTTATTAATAAGGTTTAGACCCTTTAAAACAAATTCAATAAACTATTTAAATATAGTCATATCGTTTCTTAAGTCTTTGATTGTGATCTTGTTAATTCCGTTCTTGAATAATGAGATTGATTTTCTTAAAAGTCTTATAATTGCACTGCAATTTATTATTATTGGAATTTTATTAATGATAACACTCCTTCAATTAATTCATTTAATTAGAGGTTTCGTTAGCAAGGATAAAGGTGATAAAGAAAGCGATGCGAATTAAAATTTTTCATTATCATATATTATACTGTTATAGTGTTTAAAGAATTTATATACAGTAATTATTAACCACATTACTAAATAAATTAAATAAATAATATATATATATAAGTAACCTTAGTAATCTGGGATATTTTTTCATAAATATAATGAATTTTTGGTTACGTAATAAAAAAAGAAAAAAATATTTTGTATATCCGAAGAAAATTTCCAGATTCTTGGAATTTAGGGAGTGTCGAGTCGCTGCATCAAGTCCGAAAGTTGAGAAGCACGATCATTTGTCTCTTTGCCGATTTATAATTTCGTTTTTTGTAAAAGCCCCACTCATCGGAATAAATAAAAATAAATTTATTTTTTCGTGCGATGGTAAACTAATCGCATTAAAGAAAAAAAGTTAAGTGGATCGTGGCAAAACCGAAATAGTAAATAAATAAATGAATGGTTATATTATAAATATATATGTATATTATAAGTCTTATTATTAAAAATACCTTTTTTGTCTAATTGTATATGGTTTTTAACAATATTAAAAGTTTCAAATGCAAAAAAAAAAAGTAATATACTAAAATTTTATTAGTGTGATACCTTCTCAAATTTTGAATTGGCAAAATTTTCTTTGATTAAATGTAAAAATCAAGGATTGGCAATAATAAGTAGCATGATCCACCCAAAGGTGATCTATTTGAAGTGAAGTAAATGTTTCATTTATTTATTTATTCATTTAATTTAATCTTGAAAAATTATTAACTTTATAAAAGTTGGGTGATTTAAATGTGCGCTGCCTAAAGATAAATAAAAAATCAAGGAAATCAAAAATGTAAATTATATTAATTGTGATGGTAATGACCAAAAATAATTAAGAATCTATCAATCAAATCAAGGTAAAAAAAGTAATTCTATCTGGACCAATATCCATATTGTTTCTGGTTAACCTCACATGTGATCCACTTTATAAAACATACATAAATTTTGTTTACATTAAATTTTGTATTTAAAGTATATAATTAATTTATGTTTTAACTATATTATAACTATTATCTCTTTTAATATCTTTAAAAATTATAAATAAATTTGATTGTTGCAGTTTACATAATTTAATCAATGAAGAAACTTTTTTTTAATTTCTCATTTAATGTGTGCGTCAGTTTTGGAGATAGAAAATATTTATTTATCGGTGTGTTGCAAATTATAAATTTTTAAATTTTACTATAAACTATCATATTTATAATATTTCAAATATTTAATTTATTTATATTTAATTTTATTTTTTATATGATAATATAAAAAATAAAAGAAATTTAAAGAAATTTTTTTACCCAAGTTCTATATTTTTATTAATTAATAATAAAAAAAAAACTCAGTTTATAAGAATTATTTCATCATTCTTTGCACATGTAAGATGATGTCATTTCTCAAAAATATACTCTAAAAAAATTTCCATGATTAATTTTGATTTTGTTTAATACTAAAAAACGAAATTCATAAAACGGAACACAATTTATTTTTCCCGCTCTCGGCACTTTCTTTTTTTTCATCGCAGTTTCGGGAAGACGTATAGCGATGAATTTTAATTTTTTTATTTTTTATTTATTTTTTTAAATAAAAACTTATAATTACCTTGACCTTTGCCTTATTAATACAATTTCCCTTCTTTTTCACACTTGTGGAAGTCGAAATCGACATCGCGAGCTGCGGAGGGACGTACGGCAGTAAGTTTTTATTTTTTTTTTTTTAAATAAAAATTTTTACTTACCTTGTCCCTCGCTTTAATAATGCACTTACTCTTCTTCTTCTCACCCCTCCACTAGTTCAAGAGGGCATTTGAGGGAAGTCGAAATCAGCATCGTGAGCTTGGGAGGACGTACAGCGGTGAGTTTTTTTTTTTTTAAAAAAAAAAAAAACTTCTACTTGTCTTATCCTTCCTACAATTACCTTTAGAAATTGGCACATGAGCTCGGGAAGAGGAGAATGCAAATATTATTAAAATTTTTTTTTTAAAAAAATACCTATATACACGTCCGTCCTACCAGATCTATTTTTTTCATTATTTTTCTCTTTCTCCATCTGTCATTCTTTTTCTGTCCCTCTCCTTTATTCCCTCTCTCTTTTTTTCTTCCTATAGATTCTCGCGACATGATAATGAATAAATTTTGATTAATAAAAGTATGTCAGCGCGTTCTGTTAAACCGTATATATATGCCGCACAAGATTTAAAATTAATAAATGAAAATGTGCATAGTTTTTTAACTTTCGTGCGAGTGCACATTCCGTGCATCGAATTTCAAACACTGGTCTTCATCCCACTTCTTTATTCCCGCTTTAAAATTCTAAAAATTCCCATAACATTCCCTAAGGATATGTAATTGACAATTTTCTAGTAAGAGAGGTACTGAGGAATAAAAAATAAGGTGTGAAAAAGGGGTATATTTATATCTTTTCAGAGGTTATGGAAGCATCAGTCACGCTAGTTGCCCGTGACTCATGGTACCGTGCAACGGATGATCCGCGGATTGACGGCCGATCCGAAGAATCGTGATAATGATATAAATATTCGAAGAATTTTAAAATTTTCCGAGTTTAGTTTCAAAATGAGTACTCGGAATGAAAAACATGTTTTGAGCCAGACCCAACGAATTCTCTTGGATTAGATGGTAATCTGAATGCATTCACATACTCATCAGCAAAATAGAGTGGAATTACACACAAAAGTTAGAATTTCGTAGAGATAATATTTTATGTCGAATAAAAAATTTATGGTAAAGTCTATATATATTTAATTAGCATTTTTATAGATCTTTGTATAATAAAAGAATTTAGTTCAAAAAAAAGGCGGTACATTTTTTGGTGGCAATAAACGATTGATAATTAATCAAATAAACACGGTTCTAATAATATTATTTTGAGTTAATCTCAACTTTATCAATAGTAATCACATATTTCTTCATTATATATCGCTCTTTTGATTTCTAAAAAAAACTAGAATTTTTGTTGTAGATTTTATTTAATTGCTTAATTATGTATTCAAATATGTAAATGGAGAAATTCGATTTCGAATGTTTAAATTATAACAAATCAAATTCATAAAACTTAAACTTTTTTATAATAAAGAAATTTCGTCATCATTTGTTGAAAGGATTAAATTAAAAAGTATGTGTTCTTGAAGATTGCATTGATATTTTTTTTATTTGAAACAGCAAACGGCTGCCTCTGCTTAAGCGTCACGCTTTAGTAGTAGTAATATGGGTTTGGGTTCGCCTCCGCTTCAGCGTCACGTTTATCTAATACTGCATCACGTTGGATCAATCCCTGAGCTTTAGCGAAGAGGACAATAGTGAACAGCGCACACAAAAAGACGACAAGTTTTGGATTCATCTTGAATTTTTTTTTTGTTTGTTTGTAATTTGTTTATTTAACAGATTCAATAGATGAGTGAGGAATCAAAACTGAGGTTTTATATATCTTTTGGCAACTTTAGATTTAATAAATGATCTTCATTTTTATTATTTTAATTAATAATCATTAATACTTTCAAATTCAAATAAGCCATTTTTATTTATTATTAATAAGCCATTAATTTATTTATAAGCCATTTGTAGTGGCCATAAGCGATCAGCTTTAATTATTTCCAATGTTATCTTGACTTTGATATAGTGAATGAATTCCTTCTTCTTTAAGGTTAGCATGGCACGAATTAAAAATCTTTTTCTAGTGAATTGTAATAAAAAAATTTTAACGTGGCTGCGTTTATTTGGTATTATCACTATTCATATTATTGTTGTTGTTATATTATTAAAGCGAGCTTCCTATTGTAAATGTCAGATATTGTACTTAAAATAGTTTAAACTATACAATTTAATAGCCTCAGAACCTATAATATTCGTTCATCAAGCAAGCTATATAATAATTTTTACTGGCTTTTCTAACTTGGAGAGAAATCGAGAAATCTCACTTTGCAAGTCTTTTATCGATATATTTCCGTTTGTCGGCAGATTATACGCTTTAAGTAATCCTCTAACAATATTAGCAGGAGTATTTTTGTCCTCAAAGTAGCACATACACATAATCATTATTCATGTGATTTATATTCAATTATATTGTTAAACTTGTTTCCATGCTGTGCTTTTTTTTTTTTAAAAAAAAAAAACTGCCATAGCCCAAATACCAAACAGATGTTTGATTGATAATCATTCGATCTAATTGTCATCAAGTGAGCATATAATAACGAAATTATGTTTAGAACTTTTCATTATATGTAACTCTATTTTTGTATATTATCTGTTGTAATAAATTTTATTTTAACCACATAATAATTTTTTTTTTGTTACATACAATTAATACAGTATGATACGATATGATATAAATAGTATTATCGAGATTATTTTTCTTTCATTCTTGTTTTTTGTCATAGATTTATTACGATTATATTTATTAGGTTTATCATATTTATTATAATTAACAAAAGAGAATGAAAATTGTAGTGTTTGATGATCATTATTTATTCATTATTTATTTTATTTATTTTTTTATTTATATTTTTTATTTTTTTTTTTATTTTTTATTATTTTTTATTTAATTTTTTTATTATGCCTAACTCTATTTTCTATGCCTTAATTCAATAAAAAAAAGGATATTCAATATTAATATTCTTAAGAAATATTTATTAAATTATACATTACTAAAAAAAAATCTATAATTATATATCTAGACAACGTATTTTTTATTTAGTGTCCATACTTATAGTTACTATGTTTTCATAGTAAGTTACAATAATAATAATAATATAATTGAACTCCCTAAACTGAATCGAAATGATTGTTAGCATTGCATTATCGTGGAGTTATTGTTAAAGTAAAAAAGTCTTCATCTTAAAAATCATATCCTTTAACAAACATTAATTCCGATAATTTAAAATAAAGAAATGACAAAGTTATTCTTCTTGTTCAAATCGTACTGATATTTATTACTTACAATTACATATACCACTAATAAAAAGCTTATTTTTTTTTATTTTTTATTATGTAAACTAAAACAATGAACAATTGTTTGAAACTTGTTATTAGTCTATATTATTGTCATCATAAGACTATGTCATCATTATATTATTTGAAATATTATTTGAATAAATTAAACCTCGAATTCTTCAATAACATTAAAATGTTCATCACTTAATGTGAATGGTCGCATTTGTTTTGTACTGTTTACAATAAGCTTTTTATTTCTCCCTCTTTCACAACACCATCCCTCAAAGTTTTTTCTTAAACTATCAGTATTGAATCTCCATTGACTTTCAAACCAATTCTAATTTTCGCAATTTGACATAATAATTTTTAGCATCCAATCCTTTTCCACACTCAACTGAAAATCTCTTTAATTCATTAAAATTATTGTTAAATATTGTTATTACCTGTTCAGGACTTAAATTATTGTACAGAGATTACCGAATTAACTTTAAAATAATTTAAAATTGTTGAAAATATATTAAATGGAATTGTGCGATATAAATCAAGACGAATATTTTTTTAAATTTTTATTAGAATTTTTTATAATAAATTCTTGAGGACACTTATCACATAGGCGAGAATAATGAAAACTAATTAATTGAGTAAATGATGAAAGAATTGATAAACTACCCGAATTATATACTCCATGAAATATTTAATTTAAAGTTCTTGAAGTGATATAAATTGTCTAATTGGTGATGATTTGATAAAAATTCACTATATTTAAACGAAAACTCTTTGATGTTCTTTTTGACTAATGATAACCCATAATAATGAATCCTTAACACTTAGTTATAAATTTTCTAACCGTTTTTTTAAGCACTAATAAGTTTTACTAATAATTGAGCTTGAGAATATAGGAACAAGGACAAATCCATATTTAAAATTTTATCACAAATTAATATTAATGATAATATAATGATCTAATAAGTTCACCACATAGATTATCGTCGTTGAAATCGTTTCCAATTTCTTAAATACTTTCGAAGCACCTTTTAAAAGAATCTACAAGTTTACTACGATTTATTATTAATTTACATAACTCACGAAATAATATTCTCGATTTGGTGATGGAAACTTCTTCATCATTGTCATCACCGTCATTGTCATTATTACAATTATCTTGATCTGGAGCAATAATTTTTTGTGAATATTTAGAAATAAAACAAACTAAATTATCGAAAATAAATAATAATAATAATAAAGTGCGTACATATTTTATACGACGTTTTTTATTTTCCATTATGTTAATAAAGCAAAAGTGAAAAATGAACAAATAATATATATTTATGAACATGAAAAATTATATTTGTACATATTATTCCAACGATCCTAAATTAGTCACTCATGATTTTTTTATTGGTATTTTCACGGTTAATTTGCAATCTGATATTAAACTAAAAAGTATAAAATCACGAGTTCTATGTACAAAATCACTCGATTATCCATGGATATTTTAGTGCGTTAAACAACGGAAGATTTATTATCACAATTAAAATTTGTAGCTCGAAAGTATTTAAGAATTTTCAATATATGCAAAAATGATCTAAATAAGTTTGGTTCGTATTTTGGTTATTAAATATTAAAGTATAAATTCTAATAATTTACTTTAGATAAACATTGTTACTGTAGACGTGATGATTAATGTTATGAAGAACAACATCATCATCAAATCACTTTTCAATTGTCAATTATGAGATATTAAAAATAGTTAGAAAATCTTAAAGAATGATAATATATACATATCTGATATATATACACATTTTATTATTGGTATTATTGTATATATAGAATCAGATACAGTTTAAAGAAACCGAATTTTATTTTGTAGAATAGATGTAATGTATTAATGCAATTATTAAATTAAATAATAATATTTAGTCAGAGGTAAGTTAAAAAGATGACGACATTATTATAACGGATTTGTCCTTAATTATTATGAAAATTAGTTTCATTTACATTTATAAAGTCTTATTCAAAAAAAAAAAAATTTAAAAGAATTTCGTTCGAACATTTGATAAGATATTTCTTATCATTGAAAATCATTTACTTTATCTTCAGCTTCTCCCACTCCTTATCTCTTGTTACTTGTATATCTATTGCTTTCTATCACATATATACTTTTTAATGAATACGTATTTGTTAATCTTTTGAATTGTATAGTTTAAGACAATACAATAGTTACAATATATAAAATATTGTACAGTTTATTTTAACGTTATTTCTACAGTCAACACTCGATATAACGAACCCTAGGTTTTACCTTAAATTTGTTATAAAATTATAGTGAAGAATTTAAGGAAATCAATTGGCTGCGTCGTTATAACGAGAGAAATCTGGCAAATTTGTTTGGTCAAATATTACGTGTTGGAAAAATTCGGTATAAAGCGACTTCGTTACGTATTGTAATTATCACAACAGTTTTTTTTTTTAACCACAAGAGATATTCAACACTCACCCATACATATGCAAATACAAATTTTTTTGCACACGAAAATTTTAATCGGACCTTTTCTTTAATATGTAAAATCTTTATATCCTAAATGAAATTTATATTTTTGTTTATTTATTTTATTTATTTCAACATTATTTCACTCTATTCATATTGAATTACCATTATTTATTATCCTTTTTTTTTATAAATGATATAAAAAATACGTCGATATCATAACATTATTTAATTAATACTTTCAAATAAGTCAGCCATTTCTTTAATTATTGAGCCGTATCTTTTTGTTTATTATCAATAAGCCATTAATTTATTTATAGACCATTCTAGTGGCTATAAGCGATCAGTTTTAAGGTTAGCATAAATTAAAAAATTTTCTTTTTTCTTAAACTCTTAGTGAATCATAATAAAAAAAAAAAATTTAATGTGGCTGCTTTTATTTGTTATTATTATCATTATTGCTGTTGTTGTTGTTGTTATTCCAATTATTAAAGCAAGCTTCCTAAAAAATTTTTATATAGACATCATTTATCAGAAATTATAGTTAAAACTATACAATTTAATAGCATAAAAACACTATAATATTCTTTCATTAAGCAAGCTATATAATAATTTTTTCCTAACCTAGAGAGAAATTTTATTTTGCAAGTCGTTTTACGCAAGTATCGATATATGCACTTCAAGAAATCCGTTAGCAATATTAGCTGGAATATTTTTGATCACATAATCATTATTCATGTGATTTGTTAAACTTGTTTTTAGTGCTGTGCTACTTTCTTTTTAAACTTGCTTAGCCCCAAATACCAAACCCAACCAGTTAACGCGATGCTTGATTGATAATCATTCGATCTAACTGTCATCAAGTGGTGATTGCGGAATTTCATGGACTATTACATATAGCATGATGTACTGTACTGTAGCAGCACAGCATTATATTTATGATAAAAATAGTATTATCAAGATTATTTTCATAGATTTATTACAATTGTATTATATTCCTAAAAGAGATGTAAATTTTATAATACTTGTATTAATTATTTATTTATCATTTGTTTTTTTTCATTTTTTTGATTTGTTTTTTTTTAAAAAAATTTTATTGTTATGCCTAACTCCATTTTCTATGCCTTTACTTACTAAAAAACAAGAACATTCAATATTGTTATTCTTAAGAAATATTTACTAAATTCCGCATCTGCTTCAGTATCACGTTCGTAGTAGTAGTAGGCGTTTGGGTTCGCCTCTGCTTCAGCATCGCGTTTGTAATAATAGAAATAGTAGGGGTTTGGATTCGCATCTGCTTCAGCGTCACGTTTATCTAATATTAATGCTTCAGCGAAGAGGGCAACAGTGAATAAAGTACACAAAAAGACGACAAATTTTGAATTCATCTTGAATTATTTTTTTTGTTTGTTTGAAATTTCTTTATTCGACAGATTTGCCAGATGAGTGAGGAATCAAAACTGAGGGTTTATATATCTTTTGGACGAGATAAGATTTTATAAATGATCTTATTCTTTTCTATTATTTTAATTAATATCATTAATGAACTTTAAAACTTTCAAATTCAATAAGCCATTTCTTTAATTATTGAGCCATGTCTTTTTTATTTATTATCAATAAGCCATTAATTTATTCATAAGCCATTTCTGGTGGCTATAAGAGATCAGTTTTAATTATATCAAATAATATCTTAACCTTTGATGTAGTGAATGAATTCCTTCTCCTTTAAGTTAGCATGAATTAAAAATAATCTTTTTCATCTTAAACTATCTTAAACTCTTAGCGAATCGTAATAAAAAAATTTTTAATGTGGCTGCTTTTATTTGTTGTTATTATTATTCACCATATTATTATCATTGTTGTTGTTGTTATTCATATTATTAAAGCGAGCTTACTAAAAATTTTTATATAGACATCATTTGTAAATATCAGATATTATATTTAAACTATACAGTTTAATATCATCAGAACCTATATGATTTGTTCATCAAGCAAAGCTATATAATTATTTTACGGCTTTCCTAAACTAGAGAGCCTTAATTTCCGGGTCGTTTTCTGCAAGTATCGATATATTTTTTTTCGGCAGATTATACGCTTTAAGTATTCTGCTAAAAATTATTTTGATATCATCCTCAAAATAGCACATGATCATTATTCATGTGATTTGTAAAGTATAACATTAATATTGTTGTCGTGCTGTGCTTAGCCCCCAAATAACAAAACAGTTAATCACGATGCTTGATTGATAATTATTCGATCTAATTGGTGATTAATATTGCGGAATTTTTGTGAAGTATTACATTTAACAAGACTTTTAACGAACAAATAGTTTCGGTATCGCAGCAGCATCATTTTAACGAAATTAAAATGTTTGAAATTTTTCATTATATTAATTTGTTATTAATATGTTCATTCCTACTTTTTTGTTCATAGATTTATCACAAATTATTTTATTTATTTATTTATTTATTTGTTACTTTTATTTTTTTTTTATTTTTTTATTTTTTATTATGACTATGCCTTTGTTTAACATTCAATATTACCATTCTTAAGAAATATTAAACTATAATTATATAATAATACAATTTATTTGCTATTTGTTATCATACTTATTATTGAACTTACTACATAGAACTATAATAATTGAACGAATCACAAGAAATTTATTGGCTAATATACAGTACAAAAATTTTCTATTAAATTTTTCGAAATGATTGTTTTAAGCATCATTGCAAAGTTATTATTAAAGTAATAAAGTCTTCATCTCAAAAATGTCATCCTTCATTATTATTTCTGTTAGTATTGAATTCTTTTGCTCTTGTACTGTACATGATTCTACATAATAAAATAAATGTTCTTAAAGAATAAAATGTATATATTATATCCTCATTTTTTATTAGATAATGTAACTATGATGATTATTTATGAAGTATTTAAAACTAATTAGAAAATCTTGATCTCCTTTACATTATATGGTAAAGATCAAATTGATCGAAACAGACGAATTTTCCGAAATTAAAATATTCAAAATAAATTCTTATATATTAAAAGAACAAAATATTTTCGAGTAGAGTTATCAAATGAATGGCAAAAAGAATGGAAGGTGGATATTATTTTATTATACGATATTTATATGAAACCTCTACAGCAAAATAGAATATTTACTAGAAGAGATGCCATAATAGATTCTAATATCATAAAATAGATTCATGTGATGCTCTCTCTTTTATGTAGCTAGATAGATATAATAAGAAAATTAAAAATAATTAAGCAATAACTCTATTAAGTAATTTTCTATTTTCTCAAAAAATATATATATTGTGCCTCAGACTAACGCTTGCGTCAGATTAAAACTGACCAAAATTAAGGTAGGGTTAGGGTGAAATTAAAAGGATCAACATAGGCTTGTTTTATAATTCTGGTCAATGGGTGACACCTGACGTACCTCAGTGATGATCTGAGGCACAACATATCATTGCTATCTATTGTCACGTTCTGTGCAGAACAAAGCGAAAGTTACACCAAATTTATCACGTATATATCACTAACACGATTCTATTGTGCACAATATCATGACACACTGTAAGTCAGGCAATCAGTCGATCTAAACCTACTTACACTCACAACTAATACAATTACGTTGTTATCTCTATTTTTTTAATTTATTATTTAATTATATGTTTATATATTTTATTATCTTATTTATTCATATCTGTATTATTTTATTATTAATTATTATATATTTTATCA